AGGCATAATTAAGATAATACCACAGACCACTACCCTACTTTCCTCATAACAACTCTTGGTAAAATACCCCAAGACAATACAAAAGTCACCTTCAGATTCACAATGAGGCAGCCATTAATAACTTCACAACAGCAGTAACAAACATTGACTGGCACACTGAGCCAGAAATCTATACAGATATTGACGAATGTTTTAATAATTTTCTAAAAAAGACCCAATACCTCTATAACAAGCACTGCCCTAAAAAAAACTAAACAGATGACAGCTAAGAGACTGAACAGTCCCTGGCTAACACCCAGCATTCTCAAATCCATAAATACAAAACACCGATATGAAAAACAGTACAGAATGGGTCACATAACCAGAGACCAAACAAAACGTTACTCGTCAATCCTAACCAGCCTGATAAGAAGGGCAAAAAAATTGTATTATGAGGTGATATAAAAAAGACCTGGAAGACCCTATCAGAAATTCTGGGAACAAAAAAGATATCACAAAATAGCGAAATAAAATTAGCAAAATCAGATGAACCCCAACTCCACAACAGAAACAGCAAAAAGACTCAATTTATTTCTTCTCCACTATAGGACAAAACCTTGCCAATAAAATCCCAAGCTCAGATACCCCACCAAATGACTACCTCACTGGCAACTACCGAACACACTGTTCCTAGCTCCGACTAACCCTATGAAGTCTCCATTATTATCAACGCACTAAAAAAACAAGGCAGGAGATTTAAATACCTTACCACCCTTTTTATACAAAAAGTGTCACAAGTACTATCACCAATCATTGCAACACTCTTTAAAAAAATCCACTGAATCCTCCACCTTCCCTAAAAGCTCTCAAAATAGCAAGGGTCACCCGATCCATAAAGGAGGGAGACCAAACAGAGTTTAATAAACTATAGGCCAATATCCAATTTTTCACCCTCTCTCAAAAAACTTCGAAAAATTAATTCATAAACGAATCTACTCTTACCTCATCTCCCAAAACATTTCAACCCCTGCCCAAATTTTGGGTTCAGGCCTAATAAAAATACTAATGATGTATTATACACTGCTAGAACATATATTTCACTGCAATAGAGAAAAAAAAAGTCCCACTGGGGATCTTCATTGACTTACGTAAGCTTTTGATAAAAGTTGACCAAAGACTTGCTCCCCGTAAAATTGTCACATATGGTATTAGGGGCACTCCCTCAACTAACCCCAGTCATACCTCAGCAACAGAAGCAATATGTGTACGCAATTGGGGCAAGCTCTTCCCCTCAACCAATTTTCAGTTTGGGGTCCCACAGGGAAGTGTCCTTGGCCCCCTTTCTCTCTCCTATACATAAATGACCTACCAAATGCTTCGCAAATTTCTCAAACCACACTTTTTGCAGATGACACTACATACGTCTTCTCTCACCCGAGCCCCGTCACGCTAGCCAATACTGTTAAACACCGAATTACAGAAAATATCTACCTGGATGAGGACTAACAAAACTTACACTAAACACTGCAAAACCTATTCATTCAGTTGGTAACAGAGCTAAGATGTACCTCTTAACATAACGGGTTAAACAGATCACCTATCACAAAACTAACAGAGGGAAAATTCTTAGGAATCCACCTTGATAATAGACTCAAATTTCATACAATTACTACAACAAATTTCTATGAAAATTTCCAAGACTGTGGCATACTATCGAAGATTCGGTACTATGTTCCACAGTCAGCCTCCTGGCCCTTTATCATCTTATTTACCCCCATCTCACCTATGGAATTTGTGCATGGGGCTCAACAACAATTAACCATCTCAGGGCCACTAATTACCCAACAAAAGGCTGCAGTTAGAATGATAACAAATTCTCATTTCAGGGGAACCACTCCACCAATATTCAAAACACTCAACCTACTCACCATACAAAACATCCATACTTATTACTGCACCTTTACATACATAGAAACACTTAACTCTGATATTAACCCTCCCCTTAACATTTTTGCCAACCTCAAAAGAACACATGGGCCATAACACAAGGCACAGATCACTCTTTGATGTTCCTCGTGTCCATCTCACGCTATGCAAAAACTCAATGCACATAAAAGGCCCTAAAATCTGGAATTCATTACCTGTAAATATAAAAGAAACACTACCTTTTTTATAAATTCAAATCTCTTCTCAAAGATCACTTACTCACTCAAAACCAAATAAATATGAAAACTGAACCTTTTTTAAATTGTATATCCTAAATGTTATCACAAATTATATCACACAAATGTTAAACCTAGGACCCAATTTTAACTTTGTTATTTTTTAAATACACTACCTAACAGAATACTCCATTCGACTGAATGTACAGCAATGCATGCAACCATATGACCTGTCTTTGTAATACTCATTTGTGCTTTATAGTTATCTGTTTACAATAATGTTTTATCACTGATTTCATCATTGCTTAGTTAATCTTAAGTTAATTTTAAGCCAGCCCGTAATGCTATGCATATAAGTGGCTTTGGCATGCTGCTCTTACCTGTATTTTTTTTTGTACCTCTGTATGTATGCTAAAATTACTAAATAAATAAATAAATAAAAAGAAAATACAGTGCAAAGTTGCTGTTTTAAACCAAAAACACTGTCAAAGTTTTTTTTTCTCAATACACACTGTGTGCTGCAGGATTTTTTTTTTACTGTGCACACTGACCATATAGACCCATTCTTTCATATTTAGGCCTACCAACTTTCTCTCACTAGATTTGAAGGCGCTCACTAGAATTTATGCGTACTAGTACGTCAATAACCCTGGTGTGTAAACCGTACTAGTATGTTGGAAACCCTGAAAAGGTTAAACTGTCCATACATTGATCTACGTTTAAGCATGTAGCACTCCGACCTTGATTTTCCCCATTTGAAAGCATGTAAAAAAACATACATCTACGTTCGGAGAGCTACGCGAGCGAACATAGATCTACTTCCCATTTCCAGGGCTAAAGTCTGGCTAACCTGTTTCCCTGAATCCCTTCAAAAAATATTACCCTGCTCACACTCCAACAGCTCATCAGATCCCAAGAACCATTCGTCTCCTTTCACCCCTATCTAACAAGCTCACACATGCTTGCTGAAAGTCCCAGCCCCTTGCCCACAAAACCTCCTTTACCCCCTCCCTCCAACCTTTTTGAGGATGACCCCTACCCCGCCTTCCTTCCCCTACAGATTTATACGCTCTCCAAGTCATTCTACTTTGATCCATTCTCTCTTTAAATGACCACTTAGCAACATACTTATTTACTGACAACTCAGACTTATGATGGGATCTCTGACTAGTATGCATACCTAAATAATGTATATTAGAGCTTATTTCCTCTGTTCTGTTTATTACAATATACAGTACACTACTGTATAAACATTTAAAAATATACTAGAATTGTTGTATATGGTGCAAAGGTGACACTGAAACATTATGAAAGATGGTTGACACAAACCCACTACCATTATAGTATGCTCCTCACTTAGCAACGAATTCGTTTACTGATGTGGTTTTAAGGATACAACTCCATATATATATATTCTAATGTAAAGTCCATTTGTTGAAAAAAAAAAAATATAAATATTTTATTTGGTAATCTATTGTATAGCACTCTGGATATTTAGTCTTAGTGGCACAGATTTCTCATCATGCAGTTTAATTTCAATAAAAATAGTGAAGATTTTTCACATATACAGGTCTCCCTCAACATTCGCGAGGGTTAGGGGATCAAGAGCCTCGCGAATGTTGAAAAACCGTGAATGTTTGGTGCCCCAATATATTGTAGGGAAATATATTACAATACTGCTTCCTTAACTTGTTGAACCATGAATAATCATAAAATACATGAAAACGTCGTAAATTGTACTAAATATTTACATGTTATGCTTTAATAACGTATGTTATTTAATAACATGTATGTTAACAACATGTATGTTATTAAATAACACAGACTCCACCACTGCCTCCACCACTGCGAGTCCCTACTACCCTCCCTCCGACCCCCACAACTGGCAGCCAGCCCTCCCACCACTCAGTGTGGTGAGTGTTTTGTTTGTTCATTATTTGCTATTAAACTACAGAATAAATAATGTAAACTCATCCATGACTGCATATTGGAACGGCTATTAGACGGTGACATCATGTGTTTACTCTTGAACACTGCAAAGAATCGAACATTTCTGCTATTGCTAATAATAACAATAATAATAATAATAATAATAATAATAACAATAATAATAATAATAATAATAACAATAATAATAATAATAATAATAATAATAATAAATACGATATAATTGAAGAAGGAAATTGTACAAAAATACGAGGGAGTGGTTGACACATCGTCAGTGTGACTTTGTTTATGCTGGAGTGAACGTTAGTCTCCCTGCTCTTCCAAACATTTCACAATAATCAGCGGTTGAGGCAGTGGTATTTAATAACATATATGTTATAAATAATAATAGTACATATTATTAATAACATGTATTATTATTAACATATATGTTATTAAATACCATTGCCTCAATCACTGCCTCTACCACTTTAGTCACACTCAATCTACAAGCACCAAACACAATGAATTATTGTGAAATGTTTGGAAGAGCAGGGAGACTAATGTTCACTCCAGCATAAACAAAGTCACACTGACGATGTGTCAACCACTCTCTCGTATTTTTGTACAATTTCCTTCTTCAATTATATCATATTTATTATTATTATTATTATTATTATTATTATTATTATTATTATTATTATTATTACTACTACTATTGTTATTATTAGCTGTAGCAGAAATGTTTAATTCTTTGCAGTGTTAAAGAGTAAACGCATGATGTCACCGTCTAATACCTGTTCGAATAGCCATTCCAATATGCAGTCATGAATGGGTTTACATTATTTATACTGTAGTTTAATAGCAAATAGTGGTATAAACAAAACACTCACCACACTGAGTGGTGAGAGGGCTGGCTGCCAGTTGCGGGGGTCGGAGGGAGGGTAGTAGGGACTCGCAGGTGGCGGGAAACTTAAATATGATTTGGCGGCTGGGAATTTGGTGGCTGGGAATTTGGTGGTTGGGAATTCGCGAATGTGTGAAGCCCGTGAAAGTTGAAAACGTGAATGTTGAGGGAGACCTGTACAGTGAATTGTATAATATATTCATATATGAAGTAATTTTTTTTTTTTTCAACAAGTTGGCCGTCTCCCACCGAGGCAGGGTGACCCAAAAAAGAAAGAAAATCCCCAAAAAGAAAATACTTTCATCATCATTCAACACTTTCACCACACTCACACATTATCACTGTTTTTGCAGAGGTGCTCAGAATACAACAGTTTAGAAGCATATACGTATAAAGATACACAACATATCCCTCCAAACTGCCAATATCCCAAACCCCTCCTTTAAAGTGCAGGCATTGTACTTCCCATTTCCAGGACTCAAGTCCGACTATATGAAAATGAGTCATACTGTATGTAATTCTTTGCACAATATTCAGCTTTTATTTTTCCAATGGCAATATGAATGCAAAACTTCCATTACATAAACTATATCTAATTCTAAACCCAATAACTTCTAGTCAATTTCAGATTGGAATGCTCACATCTAACTATCAGAGAATCTCTCTCTTCCTCTGCACCTTTTCAAACTTTGTAAACTATGAAGCAGATGCAAATCAGCTTCTGAATGACGGTAATTTGAGCCAGCAACTGTACACAAAAATTAATGGGTTAAAAAGTGCTATCACTGATTACGAATATAATGAAGACATGCATAAATGGGTGTTGGACGAAGAAGAAATTTATGTACCAAACAGGATGACACATCAAACAAGTAAGTGAAATACATTATTACTCATTTCTTTTATAAAATCGTGTTTTACAAATGCCTACCTCTTCAATTATTTAATATAGAATATGTATATAGCAAAAAAAATGTACACACAACAGCAGGAAATAAGGGAGAATCAAGGTGTCCCATGAGGGGCTCCCACTCTAAGAAACTGGGGCTGATCCTCTGCTTCCTTAAACTGAACCTGAATGTTTCTCATTCCCCAGGTGTTATATGACCTCCATGGGTTTGCCCTGTCTGGCCCTCCCTCTGCCCAACATAAAGCTTTTTACTTTTCTACAGTAGGCAAACATGAACCTTTGACTGTCAGACTAGAAGTAAACGAAGATCTTGACTGGAATACTGTACACACAAAGCAAAGACCTTAACTGGCACAAACCAGGAGCAAACAAATACCTTGACTGGCATACAAGAAGCAAAGACCTTGACTACTACACTTTAAGCAAACATGACCTTGGCTGGTACACTAGAAACAAACATGACCTTGTAAAGTAAAAGGACACAAGTGCAACTAATGTGACATTTTATTGTGGCAACGTTTCGCTCTCCAGGAGCGAAACATTGCCACAATAAAATGTCACATTAGTTGCACTTGTGTCCTTTTACTTTACATATTGTCGGTAATTCTACCAACTTTATTACAAACATGACCTTGACAAGAAGCAAACAAGGGACTTTGGCTGGCACACATTTTTATACACACCTCACAAATTTCTTTGTTTCAAAATGTGTTTCTTTTCTGTTGTTTTCAGTACCACAACTCCTTTACCTGCTCATCTTTGCTTTTCTACATTTTTTTGTTCAGTTTTTGATTTTGATTTTTTAATTTTCACTATGGTTTGATTCTATGAAGTTTGTGTCTCTGAGAGCTCCTGTTGAGTGACCATACAAGAGATGGGTGTACTTGGTTTACTGCACACTTAATGATGCAGTTTACGATTGGTCAAGTTGCAGCAACTTGCTAGAAATGTCTTCAATCCATTTGTTTTGCTAGTTACACTATCATCTAAATTTCTGGGAGTGTAATATTACAACCATGGAAATCACTGATGGGTTAACATAGGCTTAGGCTTAAACTCTAGGTGCAGCATTACCCACAAGAAGTGTAAGAGTCATTTGCAGCCTTTAAACCTTGAGCATTCCAATATTAATAGATAAGATGGTTCTTGTTGGTACAGTAGGGCCCACTTATACAGCAGGTTAGGTTCCAGGCTATCGCTGGAAAGCAGAACGCCATTTTTCCCATTTATAAATGCATATAAATGCCAGACAACAAGTTTACACTAAATTATATTAAGTTAGTAATAGAAGTAGCCATTAAAAAACACAAAAAGTAAAATACATACACAGTACACTCATTACTTATCTTAAAGTATTTGTAATCTTAATGTTGGGCGAGAGGTGAGTAGTACTTATTTGTAGGAAGTCAGGTGTAGGTAGCCCTGGCTCCCCATCTCATACTTAATATACGATATTTAAAACAGCCCAGAGAGTTAAGATATACAGTACACTCATTATTTACCTTAAAATATGTGTAGTCTTAATGTAGGAAGAGAGGCGAGTAGTATTTATTTGTAGGAAGTCAATGCAGGTAGTCGGTAGGTGTAGCCCGCCTGGGCTACACCTACCGACTACCTACTCACACATAATCACACATAATCTACTACCTACTCACACATAATCACTGTTTTTGCAGAGGTGCTCAGAATACAACAGTTTAGAAGCATATACGTACAAAGATACACAACATATCCCTCCAAACTGCCAATATCCCAAACCCCTCCTTTAAAGTGCAGGCATTGTACTTCCCATTTCCAGGACTATATGAAAATAACCGGTTTCCCTGAATCCCTTCACTAAATATTACCCTGTTCACATTCCAACAGATCGTCAGGTCCCAAGTACCATTCGTCTCCATTCACTCCTCTCTAACACGCTCACGCACGCTTGCTGGAAGTCCAAGCCCCTTGCCCACAAAACCACCTTTACCCCCTCTCTCCAACCCTTTCGAGGACGACCCCTACCTCGCCTTCCTTCCCCTATAGATTTATATGCTTTCCATGTCATTCTACTTTGATCCATTCTCTCTAAATGACCAAACCACCTCAACAACCCCTCTTCTGCCCTCTGACTAATACTTTTATTAACTCCACACCTTTTCCTAATTTCCACCCTCCAAATTTTCTGCATAATATTTACACCACACATTGCCCTTAGACAGGACATCTCCACTGCCTCCAACTGTCTCCTCGCTGCTGCATTTACCACCCAAGCTTCACACCCATATAAGAGTGTTGGTACTACAGTGGACCCCCGGTTAACGATATTTTTTCACTCCAGAAGTATGTTCAGGTGCCAGTACTGACCGAATTTGTTCCCATAAGAAATATTGTGAAGTAGATTAGTCCATTTCAGACCCCCAAACATACACGTACAAACTCACTCACATAAATACACTTACATAATTGGTCGCATTCGGAGGTAATCGTTATGCGGGGGTCCACTGTACTATACTTTCATACATTCCCTTCTTTGCCTCCATAGATAACGTTTTTTGACTCCACATATACCTCAATGCACCACTCACCTTTTTTCCCTCATCAATTCTATGATTAACCTCATCCTTCATAAATCCATCCGCCGACATGTCAACTCCCAAGTATCTGAAAATATTTACTTCTTCCATTCTCCTCCTCCCCAATTTGATATCCAATTTTTCTTTATCTAAATCATTTGATACCCTCATCACCTTACTCTTTTCTATGCTCACTTTCAACTTTCTACCTTTACATACATTCCCAAATTCATCCACTAACCTTTGCAATTTTTCTTTACAATCTCCCGTAAGCACAGTATCATCAGCAAAAAGTAACTCTGTCAATTCCCATTTTGAATTTGATTCCCCATAATTTAATCCCACCCCTCTCCCGAACACCCTAGCATTTACTTCTTTTACAACCCCATCTATAAATATATTAAACAACCATGGTGACATTACACATCCCTGTCTAAGACCTACTTTTACTGGGAAGTAGTCTCCCTCTCTTCTACACACCCTAACCTGAGCCTCACTATCCTCATAAAAACTCTTTACAGCATTTAGTAACTTACCACCTATTCCATATACTTGCAACATCTGCCACATTGCTCCTCTATCCACTCTATCATATGCCTTTTCTAAATCCATAAATGCAATAAAAACTTCCCTACCTTTATCTAAATACTGTTCACATATATGCTTCAATGTAAACACTTGATCTACACACCCCCTACCCACTCTGAAACCTCCTTGCTCATCTGCAATCCTACATTCTGTCTTACCTCTAATTCTTTCAATTATAACCCTACCATACACTTTTCCTGGTATACTCAATAAACTTATCCTCTATAATTTTTACAATCTCTTTTGTCCCCTTTCCCTTTATATAAAGGGACTATACATGCTCTCCGCCAATCCCTACGTACCTTCCCCTCTTTCATACATTTATTAAACAAAAGTACCAACCACTCCAACACTATATCCCCCCTGCTTTTAACATTTCTGTCATGATCCATCAGTTGCAGCTGCTTTACCCCCTTTCATTCTACGTAATGCCTCACGTACCTCCCGCCACACTTACATTCTGCTCTTCTTCACTCCTAAAAGATGGTATACCTCCCTGACCAGTGCATGAAATTACCACCTCCCTTTCTTCCTCAACATTTAAAAGTTCCTCAAAATATTCTCGCCATCTACCTAATACCTCCCTCTCCCCATCTACTAACTCCCCTACTCTTTTTTTTAACTGACAAATCCTACTTTTCCTAGGCTTTCTTAACTTGTTTAACTCACTCCAAAATTTTTTTCTTATTTTCATTAAAATTTCTTGACAGTGCCTCTCCCACTCTATCATCTGCTCTCCTTTTGCACTCTCTCACCACTCTCTTCACCTTTCTTTTACTGTCCATATACTCTGCTTTTCTTATAAAAACTTCTGCTTTGTAAAAAACCTCTCATAAGCTAACTTTTTCTCTTTTATCACACCCTTTACTTCATCATTCCACCAATCACTCCTCTTTCCACCTGCCTCCACCCTCCTATAACCACAAACTTCTGCCCCACATTCTAATACTGCATTTTTAAAATATTCCAACCCTCTTCAACCCCCCACTACTCACCTTTGCACTAGCCCACCTTTCTGCCAACAGTCGCTTTATCTCCCCCGAACTTCCTCCTCCCTTAGTTTATACACTTTCACCTCCCTCTTACTTTTTGTTGCCACCTTCCTCTTTTCCCATCTACCTCTTACTCTAACTGTAGCTACAACTAAATAATGATCCGATATATCAGTTGCCCCTCTATAAACATGTACATCCTGGAGCTACCCATCAACCTTTTATCCACCAATACATAATCTAGCAAACTACATTCATTACGTGCTACATCATACCTTGTATATTTATTTATCCTTTTTCATAAAATATGTATTACTTATTACCAAATATCTCTTTCTACACATAGCTCAATTAAAGGCTCCCCATTTACATTTACCCCTGGCACCCCAAATTTACCTACTACTCCCTCCAAAAACATTTTTACCCCCTTTAGCATTGAAATCCCCAACCACCATTACTCTCACACTTGATTCAAAACTCCCCACGCATTCACTCAACATTTCCAAAATCTCTCTCTCTCCTCTACACTTCTTTCTTCTCCAGGTGCATACACACTTACTATAACCCACTTTTCACATCCAATCTTTATTTTACTCCACATAATCCTTGAATTAATACATTTTATAGTCTCTCTTTTCCTGCCATAGCTTATCCTTCAACATTATTGCTACTCCTTCTTTAGCTCTAACTCTATTTGAAACCCCTGACCTAATCCCATTTATTCCTCTCCATTGAAACTCTCCCACCCCCTTCAGCTTCGTTTCACTTAAAGCCAGGACATCCAGCTTCTTCTCATTCATAACATCCACAATCATCTCTTTCTTATC